GCTTTCCTTAATGGGCATTTGAAGGAGGTGTTTGTGTGTCAACCTCCAAGCTTTGAGAGTCATGAGTTTTCTGAGTACGTGCATAAACTGAAAAAGTCACTGTATGGATTAAAGCAAGCTCTAAGAGTATGGTATGAAATACTATCAAAACATTTCCTGGAGAACGAGTTCTCACGCGGCAAAATTGACAACGTATTACTTTTGTTGAAGAATGACAAGAATCGGCTAATTGTCGAAATATATGTTGATGATATCATCGTTGGTGCTACTAATGATTTGTGCAATGAGTTTGAGAAACCTATGGAAAGTTAATTTGAGATGAGCATGATGGAGTATTGAACTTCTTCCTTAGACTGCAAGTTTGCCAAAATTAAAAGGGGACTATAATACATGACAAAAATAAAATGTTTCATATTGATATTACAAAGACAAATGATACTCCTATTACAACTGCAACTAGGCTGGATATGGATAAACATGGTCTTCTTGTTGATGAAAAGAGGTGCAGGGATATGATAGGGTATTTGCTCTATATAACTTCAAGTTGATCAAATATTATGTATAGTGTTGGTCTTTGTGCACGATTTTAATCAAATCCCTAGGAGCCACATTTGAAAGCCATGAAAAGGATCTTGAGATATCTGAAAGGTACTTAAGGCCTGGTTCTTTTGTATCCTTCGAGTGATACGTTTGACTTGATTAGGTATGTAGATACAGGATCATTGTCATATTCATTATACTTGTATTGTCACAAAATATAGGAACCCCTTCTTTTACAACACCATAATCTTCTAACTGTTGTTTGATCTATAATAATAATTGGACACAACATGAAGCATCAGCTACATACTCAACTTCTACAGTTGACAATGATACTGATTATGTGGGTTATTTGGTGGATAGGAAGAGCACATCTGGGATGGATCACTTTCCGGGTTCGTGTTTGATATAATGGTCTTCAAAGAAACAAAATTTTGTAGCATTGTTAACTACAAAAGCTGAGTATGTAGCTGTTGTTTCATGTTGTGCTCAATTGTTATAGATCAAACGCCAGTTAGAAGATTATGGTGTTGTAATAGAAAGGATTCCTATATTTTGTGATAATACAAGGGCAATGAATATGGAAAAGAACCTAGTTCATCACAAGAGGACAAAGTATATTAATGTTGGATATAACATTTTGAGAGATAATGTAGAAGAGGGACACATCTCTATGGAATTTTGCAAGACAAAGGAACAGATTGTTGATATCTTTACCAAAGCTCTGAGCAGGGATCATCTCGAAAGAAATCGCTTGGAGCTTGGTTTGATCAAAATGAACTAAGTACACTTTTTATTCCCTCAATGATTGGCTAATGTTTAATAAAGTATTCAGTGAGTCTAAGTGCGAAAATATCTATCTAATACTATACAATGTATGCACGCATAGCATGCTGAAGAAAGCTTAGATGTTTTATCCGATAAAAATATCCTTGATCTCAAAAGAACTTTTGGCCACAATGAGGAAAGAACATGATTGTTTAACACCCATGTATATACCTCCTTTGCAATTGATAATTGTAATGAGTTTTTTAAACTGCCACGTCATAAATACAAAGTTTTTAGTCACTTGATCATATCCTATAATTATAACCTCCTTGCGTAATTAAAGAGATTAGATTCCTTAAACTGCACTGAACACATTTTTGCTGCTCAACTAGAGCCCATTAGAAATTGCCTCATTTATAATTTGAACATTGGGTGCCACTCCTTCCCACTTAGAATTGGATTAGGAGTTATTTCCTTGATTGATTAGGTCTTTAACTTAAAATCATGTCCCTTATGTAACTCCTCACTCTTAATCACACCTTACTATTGTAACGACCCGGCTGGTCATTTTGAGTATTATAGCCCTGTTCTCCCATTTATTACTTATTCTGTATTTGTTTATTATTATGTGTCTTGGGAGGTAGTTGGTTTAGTTTCGGGGATGTTTCAGAATGAACTGGGACACTTAGTCTTAAGTTGAAAGCCTAAGATGGAAGAGTTGATCGGATATTAACTTATATGTAAACGACTCCGAAATGAAGTTGTGATGGTTTCGATAGCTATGAGTGGTGATTTTGGCCTTAGAAGTGTGTCCGTATATTGAGTTCGAGGTCCGTAGATGATTTTGACTTGAATTGGCAAAAGTTAGAAAAATGAAGGTTTGGAGAGTTGAGAAGTTTGACTGAGAGTTGACTTTGTTGTTACCGGGCTCGGATTTTGGTTTTGGAAGTTGGCGCAGGTCCGTTTTGTCATTTATAACTTGTGTGCAAAATTTGTGGTCAATCGAGTTGGTTTGATAAGTTTCGGCATCGATTGTAGAAGTTGAAAATCCATTAGTTTCAATAGGCTTAAATTGAGGTGCGATTCGTGTTTTTGATGTTATTGGATGTGTTTTGAAGCCTCGACTAAGTTCGTATGATATTTTAGGATGGATCGGTATGTTTTGATGGGGTCCTGGGAGCTTCGGGACTGATTTGGGTTGAAATAGGATCAAAAGTTGAACTTATGCAATTTCTGTTGGCAGCAGTTATGGTGTAACCACACCTGCGAGGTTTTGGCCGCATGTGCGGAGCCGCAATAGCATCCATGTAGGCGCAGATGCAAGAGATGGGGAGGAAGACTGGGGGCGGAGGTGTGGAAGAAATTCCACAGAAGCGGATGCGCTTCTGCGCAAGAAGGTCCGCAGAAGCGGAAATGGGCAAGAAGGGGTGGAGTCGCAGAAGCGGAAGGACTCCGCAGGTGCGGAAGCGCAAGAGCGAGGGTGAGACTGCAAAAGCAGTCCCGCAGGTGCAAGGGGGACCACAGGTGCGATTGGTCGGGGGATTAAGTGAGTTTTGCATTTGGCCACAAAGGCAGTTCCGCAGAAGCGACTAATCGACCGCAAATGCGAGATTCCTGGACAGAAGATAAAATTGGGGTTTTCTTATGATCCTCTCATTTTTGGACTTTGCAAACTCGGCTAGTGACGATTTTTTATAGGGGTTTCACTAGATTTCAAGAGGTAAGTGACTTTTGATCATTATTATTCATTAATATTGAATACCTATTAAATTTTTCACCTAGATTATGTGTTTTTGAGGTAAGATTTGGAAAATTTTGGACTAGGGATTGGAGAGTCAGATTTGGGTGTTTGAAGGCCGATTTGCGGTCGAAATTGGATGATTTTGGTATGGTTGGAGTCGTTATTGAATGGGTGTTTGAATTTTGTAAATTTTGTTGGGTTCTGAGGCATAGGCCTGGGGTTGACTTTTGACTTTGGTTAAAGAACTTAGCTTTATCGTATGAAATCGATTTCTATAGCTTGTATTGATTGTATTAAGTTGTTCATGACTAGATTCGATTCATTAGGAGGCCGATTCGCGAGGCAAGGTCTTGTTGGAGTAGGGATTTGCGCGGTTTGAGGTAAGTAACACTTCGAAACTTGATACTGAGGGTATGAATCCCTGAAATACATGTTATGTGGCTGGTGTTGAGGTGACGCACATGCTAGGTGATGGGCGTGTCGGCGTGCACTGCAAAATTGTGACTTGTTTGATTCTGTGGTACCGTGTAGTTATCAAACCTTATTGCTATTCATGTAATACCTACGTGTTAGAGTAATTGAGTTGCAATCCATGTTAGAAATCATGTTTAGGCTATATGCTTATTCCGTTGGGACTCACTGAGGTCATTTCTGCTATTGAATTATTTGCTTAAACTGCAATTTTATACTCAGTCACATCCATCATTTGCATATCATATCTCAGTCTCTGTTATCATTTACTGTTACATCATGTTATTATTGTTTGGGTTGATTTGGCATGAGATTTATGAGCCCGAGAGACTGGAGACATTGATGATTGAGTTGCGGCCTAAGGGCTGAATTGTGAGTGATATTTGTGAGATCGGGTTTCACGCCGCAACAGGTTTTACTGATTCATGATGGTATCGGGTTGCACGCCGCAATGGGTTTTATTGATTCATGATTGGATCGGGATGCACGTTACAGCAGGACATGTTGGCTGATATTAGCGCTTGGGCAGGATCCGCCCCTCCGGAGTCTGACATACCAGCAGTGAGCGCAGGTACCGTACAGTATTGAGTGATTAAGTGTGATGGGTAAGAGTTGAGACAGTCAGATTGAGTACTCTGAGAGTGTGAGTACATAGGAGTATCATTGTGATGCATTGCATTTGACATGCATATTTATTATGTAGACATAGAGATGTAACATTCCCCATATCAGTTATATTTGGCAAATTTTATCAGTGTTGATCTTAAACTGTTAAACTTGAAAGTATGTCTATATTTCTGTACTGTGTGCAAACTGATTATGCGATTTCTTTGAATTATCAATGTCATTTCCTTGTTATATATGTACTGTTATTATCTGGATTTGGGTTGTACCTTTTTGAGCTCGTCACTGCTTTCAGCCCAAGGTTAGTCCTGTTACTTATTGAGTACATTGGATTGGTTGTACTCATATTACACTCTGCACTTCGTGTGCAGATCCAAGTATATCTGGATCCGGTGGTTGCTAGACTTGCAGCATTACCTGCTTGGAGACTATTGAGGTAGCTGCTATGGCGTTTGCAGACATCGACTCTCCTTCTTTTTAGTTTATTTAGCACTGTTCTATCTTTCCAGACAGTTATATTAGAAGTTTTGACTGTGTTGATACTTAGTAGCCCATGTACTCAGTGACACCCGGATTGGGAGATTTTGTATATGAGTCGCAGTTGTGTTTATCGGTTATTTATAAGATTTTCATTGTTAAACCTAATATTTCATGCTTTTAAACTAAAATGCGTAGCTATTTTGTGATGGTCGGCTTGCCTAGTACTATGATAGGCACCATCATGACATGTTGAGATTTGGGTCGTGACAACTATCTCTTAATCTCTCTCTAAAAATTCTAAAATAGAAGGAAAAACAAAGAATTCCCAAACTCCAAAATTCTCAAAATTTTGCCAGAAAGAACTAAAGTTCCAAAAATGTCAACCTCACTAAATCTTCCCACATCTGGTCATTTGGAATCTATAACCAACACCTATATTATCTCACCAACTCAAATCTATTCTGACCAAAACCCCACTCAAGAAACCCGAAAAGCTATCACAGGAATTGTCAATGACTTCAACAAAAAGCAAGTTGAAGAATCTGAACATACAGGTAAAGTGGTAAGGGAGTTTGAAATTCAAGGGGAAGAAGTAGTGGAAGGTGAGAAGGTGAAGGAAAAACAAAGTGAAAAGGAAAGTGGTAATACAAATATTGTTGGTATTGATGTGCAGAACATGAATGGCCTTTATAAAGAACTGGGAAGAGAGAATGTTAGTGGTGGTGTAGAAACAACGGAATCCCTAGGCCAACAATCGGGTTCTTCTGTTGCTGGTGAGGACGTAGAGGTTGGAAAAGAAAGTGTTGTAGGAGATAATTCTAGAAAGGTGGTTGAAGGGTTGCAAGAACTTGGTTCTTTGGCCTCTAACAAGGAAGTATCCTCATCTTTAGGGAAATAGATACTGCGGGGGAAGGAGAAGGAGATCATAAAGTGAACACAGAAGAGAGTGACAGTGATGATGTAGTTTCGGCTGAGAAAGTATCTTAGTTGAAATAGAAAAGCATGGGTAAAAAAAAGTGAGAAACCTAAGAGGGTTAAACATGTTGCAAACAAGGCATTCAAGAAAGGAAAATGTGTGACTCCCAAGGCTAGAACACTAAACACCCAGGGGGAGGGGGAGAGCAAGGCTTCTCTTGAGAAAGACTTGGAGAAAATAAGAAAAAGAGAAAAGAAGACAAGAGTTTTGATTAAGGGATGAGTCTAATGCAGAGGAAGTTGACTTAGTGAGTGAGGAAGATAAGAAAGAAGAGGAGGAAGATGAGGAGGTTCCTCTTCAGAAGGAAGAAAAGGTGAAGGCTGGATCATCTTCAGCCACACCTAAAAAGCAGAGGAATCCCAAAAAAAAGCAGATGAGTCTGCAGAAAAATATCCAGTTCCTACGCAAAAAGAAACTAAGAAAAAGATTGTTGTTGTGGGCATAGAATATTGGTTTAGTGGTCTGAAGATGTTGAAGGGTAGAGTGCTAGACCCAGCCACCTATGAGATATTTGGCATGAAGGAGTTGCTATTGGTTTAGTGGTCTGAAGATGTTGAAGGGTAGAGTGCTAGACCCAGCCACCTATGAGATATTTGGCATGAAGGAGTTGCTAGAAAAGCTTAAGCACCAAATCTAAAAACATCTATTCATGTTCCCACTCCCTGTGATGTATGGTGAAGCAATGCTTCATTTTACAAGAACTTTAAACTTCTTGAGAATGGCACAGTAAGCACTATGGTATGGGGAGTGAGCCTAGTTCTTGATGCTGAGTTGCTAGGATAGATTTTGAGAGTGCCAGTTAATGGGTTTGATACCTATGTGCGATGCGAGTGGCCTAATTTGGGAGAGAATGAGGATGATATGCACTTGAACTACAAGTACACCTAGGGAAGGGAGAAGCAGAGCTTAAGCAAGGTTGGAAAAAGGGGAGATAAAACTGATTCACAAGCTCTTGTTTGAGTTTATAAGCAAATGTCTTATGCCTCGATTAGAAAGGAAGCATGAGGCCACCCACTTGGACTTGGCATTCATGAAGCCTCTAGATCAAAATAATCTGATCAACTTGCTCTCGCTAATGATCAAGCACATCAAAGGGAGGCTACTTAAGAGAAAGGCTCACATGCTCTACCATATGGGTTTTTGCTGACTAGTGTATTTGAGCACTTTAAGGCGCCACTGAGAGGATCGAAGAAAGAGATAAATAAGGACATTTTTTATGAGAAAACCTTAAGGGAATGTGACATTGCGAGATTACCAGGCACAAAGAGCAAAATTATGGTCACACATTTGTTAGAAGAATTTGTTGTTGCAAATGAAGAGAAAAAGAAGATGGGTGCTGAAATTGCTTCTTGAAGGAAGGGAACATGAGGCTTAAAGAAGAGATGAAGCAAGAGCAGGATGTTCCTTGATTTGACAAGCTTCTGGGGCTTACTCATGGAAAAACCTCTTCCAGCAAAGAACCCGATCCTCGGTCCTCTTAGTTGTTACAGTCTAGTCATGTTAGTCCCTAACTATGTCCCTTCTATGATCAGATTTTGGACTGTTACTTCTATTAATTTTTTGTTGTGTGGCAGTTTGATGAGCTTGCTCAATCGTATTTTGGTTTGGGCCATTTGGGCTTAATGTGGTACAACTTTTCATGAAGATAAATTTTTGTTTTGGGCTATAGTTGTCTCTTTCGAGTTGGATAATTTTTCATTGGATTAAATATTCGAGCTTTTGAGATTGTGCACATGTTAATATATCCCTTGAGGCCATGAGTTGATATCACCAATACTCACTTTTGACCCTACTAATGCTTTAGTTTTTCTATGATGCCAAAAGGGGAAAGTTAAGGATGTGCATGATGTGTTATGTTGTGCTAATCAATAAACCTAGTCCTTATGCACTTGAGCTGATGATATTGTTCAAAGTCTATTTGTTTGCAGGAATTTTTAAATGCCTTATGCCTAGCCATCTATAGGGTTGCGATGAATGAAGGTCCAGCCTCTTACACCTGTGCAAATATCGACAAATCAGAAGAAGAGTATTGATAGAGAAACTGGTTCTTAAGATCTTCTTCAAAAAGGGAGAATTTTATTGAGCTGAGCATGTTCGAATATGAATATGTTTTGATGATTGACAAATTGTGATCAACTATATTAAAAGAATCAGGTTTCATAGACACGATACTATACTATTAAATTGGTGAGCAGATGTAATATGAAAATAACAAGAGAATCAAGTTCAGCAGGATGACGTCAAATGCTAATCAGACGTGTGAAGATTGAATATGTGTATAAGTTGGATTCCGGAAAAAAGTCACTTCGTGCATAACAAGGAAAGATCTTGGTTGGAGGAATCCATATACTAAAAGGATTTTTACAAATAAGAAATAACTTGCATGGAAGAAAAAGGTTAAGGAGGTGGAAACAAATAAGGAAACCAAATTAAGGTAGGAGAGTATTTCCTTAATCGAAGTACTCTAGGTTTTGGGGCATTAATTGGAGAAGGATTTTGGCCGCCCTCACCTACATAAGAGACCTATTGTTTCTACAACTAATGCTATTCACACAAATCAAGGATTCATTGTTGGCAAGAGCAACTAGGGCAAGAAGGTGCTCTTAGAGGATTCAAGCTGCACAACTAAAAAACATATTCCAGAAGACGAAGCTGCCAGTTCTTTAGTTGTTAGGTTGAGTATGTTGTTCGTGAAATTTTTAAGTATTTGCTTTTGAGAAGTGTAATCATAGTTTAGCACAAAAATATTAAAACTTCTGTTTCGCTTTCTAGACTAAAGTTAGTTTGATCGATGCAATTAGGTTGATTGTCGGGGTAGGGTACTAGAATTAGTCTCCTTAGTTATTGAGTTATAATCTAAAATAGCTCTTTGCAGTTAGTGAAGTTTGATGAAAATCCTACGATGGTAGGTCGTGGTTTTTACTCCCTTGAGCAAGAAGGTTTTCACGTAAAAATTATAATGTTCTTATATTTCGCACTTTACTAGCTATTTGTGTTTGTTATGGGTACATCAAAAAACCTGATTCTTTGATTTATGAAAATCTGGTAAGACACGATTTATGTCCCCCTTTTTGTGTCATGGTGCAACCCTAAAAGAACATATCCATTCGAGATGGATAACGTTAGAGGCTTGTTCACATGGGATGAGTTTATAACCCACTTTTCTTATCCGCAAAAATTGGCTGATCTAGAAGTAAATGAGAATGAAGATAGCATAAACGTAAATGTAATTAATGAATATCCATTTGACCATCACTCTTCAATTCTTTTAATCAATATAATTTTGTGAATTTTGTTATTAGGAATTTTCAGGAAAATGCACAGAAGGATTCTGTTGAAGAATGCAAAATGAAACTAGGGATCATTTTGCACAGTTATTTTACCACTTGAGATGAGGCCAAGAAAGAAAAAGGCAAGCACGATATGCAAACAAAGAAATATTTTGTGTTGTACTTAGCCAAATGAGCTCCCAAAAAAAAAAAAAAAACAATAAGCGAAGAAAAAGAATGTCTCGAAATTAGGAGTGGAGTTCACAAGCTCAGAAGAGCTCCAATACCTCCTTTTGTTGTAAATTGTGTGTGATCATGGCACATGACACAATTTCAGTGTGAAGTAGAAAATATATTGTTATGAATGTGTGTTGTTTTTGTGTCTTCGAGTGTTTTAGATTATTATTTCTTTTAAACAATATTAAAAGAAAAATAGTTGCTTTAATTCATAGCATAACTTCTATTTACTTCCTTATATTTCCTATTCAACTATTTGCTATGATCATAATATTTTGAATCGAGGTCCTCTTAAAACTTTTAGTTGTTTTCTTTTAGCAAATGCGCTAGCTAAAACTTGATCAGATATGAAAAAAATAGACTTAGGAAAGACATGTTTGATTAAGTACCATTCATAAGTTATACAAGTACCTTTCTAAACTCATACTTGCTTATTGGTGATTGAAATTTAAAATCACAGTAATGTTTACTGTAAGTGCATTATAGCCAGCTTATATTGCCTAGTTCTCCTGTTTATTTGAACATCTAGAACTTGTCTTGAATATACTTTGAGGTGAAAGTAGAGATTCCTTATGAACCATAGCCTAAATTGACACACCTTGATTACTTTTATCCCGGTTAGTCCTATTAAGCCTAAATGAATTATTCCTTATTTTGTAAGTAGCTGAACATTTAGCCTTAGCTTGTATTAACGAAAAACAAGAACCATGGGGTTGAGGGTTAGTTCATTTGGTTTGGTCCCTGGGAAGTTTCAACCCAATCAATACCGCAGCCTTGAAGATGATTTAGTATTTGTACATCCCAGAATAACTCATAGAACAAAAGAGTTAAAGATTTACTTGCAAAGATGAAGTTCGAATCACTAGTAAAATGATGGAGACATTGATGTAGTAGTCGCACGTTCGCATTAGGTAACTAGTCAATTTCTCGTATGTTTTGTTTTATGTTAGTATGTGTTTTATTATTATCGGTTCGGGAGGCTGGCTGTGCTATCATGCTATTGAATTTCATCATCCAACAACTTTACACAGAAGTTGGTTGCTGCTAGCTTCTCGCCAATTTTTGTTGGTGATCTAGGAAACATTCCAGTGACGCTTTGCTCCCAATTTAACAAAATTCAAGCTTTTCTGATGATCCTTACTATTTGGAGAAACGGGTGGCAAATAACAGAGTAGAAATAGATTTATAAGGAGCCATTAACTAAGTTCACCAATTACAGCAATTCTCCCCCCCCCCCCCCCCCCCAAGATTGATTACATAAGCTTGTACAGGTTGTTCTTCCTATATATCAAAAACTCACCTTCAAGGTAACTAAGCAGATCAAATAAAGATTTTTCAGTGGCCCCGTTGAAGTGCTCCAAAAGATCAGAAAGGGTGACCTGCATATTTATCTTGTTATCCTACATTGTCCTTCCATCAACAAGGAATGTGAAACTTAAGATTTCAATGTCACTACAAAGGACCAGTACTTACCCCATCATCAAAGTTCTTGAGCCAGCTCAATATGGATTCTTCTGTGGCATCCAGAGTCCTAAAACTTTTGACTTCTGCTGCTTCGACCCTTTGGCGTTTTGTAGGAATGAGCAAATCACCTTCACTGGATGCAGCTTCTTTCCTGTTCGTCTCAGTCAGGAGATGATATTCTGCTCCTTCAGTCTTCCCAGGAGAAGCACCCTTTGTACCAGTGACAACAGGTGCTTCAACTATGCCATCATCTCCCTGCACGTCAGATGGAACGTTCTGTAGTATTTCTGATATGTCATTCGAACATTCATCTCCATTGCAACTTTGCTCATAATTGGATGAAAATACTTCAGCTGATACTCCTGCCTCATGCATCGTCAAGTATGCCTTTATCTGACCATAACTTACCTGCTTGTCAAGAACAATTATTTAGCTTCAATATGGTTGGCATGCAACCCCACATACCTCAGCTATA